CTTTGAAGTTCCTCATCATCCATGAAAGTGTGAACTCCCTTGACACAGAGAGCATTGTAGAGATAACCAGTGAAATCATAACGCGTGTCTTTCCCTCTAAAGCTGAGGAACACATCGTACATGAATCTACGGGAACTTGGACTTGCCATCAGAACAAAGTCTGGAATGATAATTGTTAGCGTGTTGGGACAGTAAATGGAAACTTTATATAAACATAAAATTATTATGGGAAATTTAGTTCTTATAAATTTCGCATAATAAATGTTAGCTGTGGGGACTGTAAATGGAAAATATCTGTCTCGGTCTTTCTTATTTGCATCATTATATTGGTCAATGCAAACAATAGCCACACAATATCTAATCCATGGTTGGTCAAATGCATCATTAATTAATATGGTCGGTTCACTTTTCACCTTTGATAAATCTATATCTAATCCAAACAATTGAGTTTAAATTGATTTATTTGATTAAGTTGGGTTGATCTAAGTCATTCATTCCTAAAGATCTCAAACTATTGGTTTTACTATCTATATCTAAGTCATTCATTCCGGTTAATTGTGAATTTTTTAGTTTTTCTCAATTTCAATCTTTCTTCTCTTTGCATATCTCTAATTCGTATTATATTCCCATTTGTATTCAATCGATTTTATCAATGCAAAGACACTCTTTGCTTTAATTAAAAGATATTTACTTTGTTAAATGATTGTTTCAAGGAATAATGTCTGGAAGATTGAACTTTGTTAACTTTCATATATATTATGCTATGTACTGCACGAGTTATTTTAACTTTCATATATAGTATTTTTTTTTATTATTTGTTTAATGTTTTTATATTTATTTATTTAAATTGCATTATTTATCTGTTAATGATATTTATTTCTATTATTTTTTTATAATTTTTTTGTTATTTATTGTGTATTAGGTTATTTTGTTGTTATTAAATAATTTATATTTGGTATTTAATTTTTTGTTATTTGGTATTTAATGTATACATTTATTTAAGTGTTAATTATTTTAACTTTTGATTTAATTTATAAGATGTTTCTATTTATATACTATGTTATATGTTGTTTTTTAAATTTAGTTTTATGCTTTTATTTAGTTTTATACTTTTATAAAGGTTTTTTAGTTTTATGTTGTTTTTTATTTCCTTATATATATTATTACAATAAATATGTTTAAAATATTAAATTTCATTAAAAATAAAATTTAAATAAATATCAAATATAAAAATAAAATATAAATTACAAAATATTAACGCAAAATTATTTAAATAAAGTAATAGAAAAAATAAAAAAATAAATTAAATTCAAAAAACAATTAAATATAATAAAAATCAAAAGAAGGAAAAGTCATGACTTACAATAGTTCAAGCTACAGTGAAACTGCAATTTCAAGTGCAGCAGTTGGTATGAACCACACTTTCAACTTTTAACTGCGGTTAGACCGCAATTTAAACGGTTCAGTGTGGAGAGTTCTACAACTCCTATTTTAACGCCGTTGTGTTCTGAACCAATACAGTTAAGGCATCGACCTTTATTCTATCCAGTCCAGAAACACATCACAGCACATATAAACAATCCATACAAACAAATATCATTACATATAATTTTTCTATCATACAACGCTTAAGGAAAGAACAACCAACCTGGACACCCAAACTAAGAAGAACCACCTCACCACGATACCACCATGACGACCACCAAGGATAGGTATGTGCACAACAACAAGTAAAGTGAAGAGGAAGGAAAGATGTACACGCGATAAAAGAGAAGATAGGGATGTAGGATTGACAAAAAAAGTGAGGGATGAATACTTGCTTTTAATTGTTGAATGGGAAGATGCAGAGTGAGATGGGTGAGGTGGAGGAAGAAACACTCTTTAATAAACTATGGTTGCAAGTTTATCCAAGCATAAGGAAGAAAAAGCATAGTTGTGTGAGAGCACAACGATGAGAATCCTCGACTCTTCAATTGCTTTATGAAGTGCTGGTGTGCTAGAGAGAGCTTCCTAGATATTACCAGTGAAACTTTTCTCTTTTTTCTCTCTCTTTTCTCTGAAAAGTCAACATGCATAACCCTACTCTACATTAGACAGGTCTTTTCAAGTTCTTAGAAATTACCCATAATAAATGTTAGCGTGTTGGGACTGTCGGCAAGTCTTCATCAAGTTTCAAGTTCTTAGAAATTTTGCATAGTAAATGTTAGCGTGTGGGGACTGTACATGGAAAATATATGTCTCAGGTCTTTCTGATTTGCCTCATTATATTGGTCAATGCAAACAATAGCCACACAATAATGCTACTTATTAACTTTCATTGATAAACATGGTTGGTTCACTTGATTTTCAATAATTCTATACCCAATCCAAACAATTGAGTTTAAATTGATTTGTTTGATTAAGTTGGGTTGATCTATGTAATTCATTCCTAATGATCTCAAACTATTGTTTTTACTACTTAGTGCACTTTGATAGTTTTTGCAACTACATTTCTTGTAATGTAAAAATTTTATTTTTACATTATTCGTTTCGGTTAACTGTGAATGATTTTTAGTTTTTCTCAATTTCAATCTTTCTTCTCTTTCGTCATCTAAAAGCTGATTATATGTTTATTGTTACACTATTTATAATTAATTTTCTATCAGTTTTAAACTTAATTATTACATAATATTTTAAAAAATAAAAATATTTTATCTTTATTTCAAATTTTCATCCTACAATTTGATAATAATTCTATGGATAACTTCAATTTTATAGCAAAAATATAGACTTGGCAGTAAGTTTAGGCTCAACCTAGTTGTAATTCGCATAGGGCTTTTGCTTCCTGTAACCTAATATTGTATTGGGGCTTATTCATATTTAAATTTAAATCTAGATACATTGTAATGGCAAATAACATTGGCAAGTAGGATCCCGTGTAGTAGAAAAGGTTATAAAACTTCAATATATTATTAAAGAAACGGAATCTTACTTTCATCTACTTTAAATAGTAAAAATATATAGCTTATAAGTTAGTTCCAAAAAATCTTTTTATAGTCTTACTTTCATCTACTTTAAAGGAGTCTTGTGAAAATAAATACTAGAACTGATGATGATTGATTGTAGTCATGGAGAAAATATTTTAAAAGTAGTGTAGAACGAAGTTATAATTTTTGTTTTTTGAAATAGTTAAAATTTTGGAGATTTGAATAACATAATCGTATGGAAGACAAAGAAAGAATATCAAGAACAAAACCTATCCCTTCTTAAATTATACTTTTGAGCTTAAATTATATTTTTGGGTAATCGTAATCTTCTCCACATTCCTGCCTCTTTCGATGATTCTCACTGGTCAATTTGTCTGCCCATTTCCTCAATTATTCTTAAGAATGTGTTTCATCCTCAAAATAAATTTATGGTTTTTTTACTTTAGAAAAACAAGGCAAAATAATAGAACTTTACATTGTAGTGTAATATAACTTAAACATATATTTTGTTAAAAAATACTTTTACATAACTTTCTTCAATACAGAAAAATATAGTTAAAAAACAAAATACAATTTTTAAAAATTGTTTAGGAATAAAAAATCTAGTTAACCCTTAATTATATACGATACAAAAACTTAAATTTTTGAAGATTTTTTTCACAGTTCAAATCATATTTATTATTTTTATTAATCTTTGTAACATTTCAAAAATACAGTGTAAAATTATATCATAAAATAATCACATATTAATAATATTACAGCTCAGTTCTGCAAAACAAAGAAGGTACGATTATGGCCGAACGACCTTACAAAAATACCAGAGAATTTAAAACTTTACAACATCTACAGCTTAGACCGAACGGTTTCCAAAACTAAGCTTACACCAATCAGTTATACAAAACAAGACAATCAGAACTCGCCGAACGGTTCTACAGTTCAGGCTTAACCTCCACTTCTTCCAAGGCTTCTTCCAGCAAGCACTCTTCCCCTTCTGCTCACATCCACAGGATGATCATTGCAACAGGAATAAAGACAACAAAATAGACAAAACAGACAAGACAGGAAATAGGGTAAGTTTGTGTAATTTAATTAATTAAATAATCATATATTTCACATAAGTCTGATACAAATCCATAAATCAATTATACACCATCAATCATACATTATTGCATGCAATACACAACCACTTGACTCAGACTGTCCGGACTGTAGAAATTCTGTGTAGCTACAACGTTTTTGCACCCGGGTGATGTAGTAGCTGGGATGCACTCAACAGCTGTCACCCGAGGTTAGTCCGTTATACTATGTCCATCTTAACTTATGGACTAGGACCTCCTGCCATTCTCACACATGATTTACTCCTCTCTACTTGAGAATGAGTAATCAATAAATATCAGGATAAATGCCACCTTAGCATGACCACATTCATACTTTACCATTTAATAACCAAATTCTGAGATATTCCTCTCTAGAATACTCTTTCATATCCATACTATTTCATTCGTATCACATTTCAAATTCCATCATACTTCATTATCAATATATTCAATTTGAATAAAGACAACACTTTTTCATCATAGAAACAAGTCTGAACTAATGAACAACTTTTAGACTAAACTAACCGAACCCTGAGTGCATTACCGAGCGATATTTTACTTATCCACAGAACATGACCGAAAGAGGTATTAATATTGTGCTTGTGAAACAAGACCAAATGGAATAACACTTCTCAATAGCTAACCTGACTGAACGCTATTTACCAAGTGAACCACTTCATTGAACCGACCCCTAAGAGTTTAAACCGCACACTACGAAGCCTAGGTCGAATACTAAGACTCTAGGCCGAACACCATTTATTGAGACCGAATACTGTTTGACACCGAATACTAATAACAGACTGGATACTTGATAGGTGTGAACTTTGCTTATATTTGTTGCTTAAATTGTTGTGCTTTTGAGTAAGTTTTAGTGTTAATTCTCATGAAAAGTATATAATTGTTGATATAAGTATAATTTTGACTGTTTAAATGTGTTTTGATGCTTTTGTGTGGTTATTTCGAAGTAAAATAAGGACTGGATAATATCAAGGACTTGAAGTGCGTCACTTGCCCTGTAAGACGGATCAAATAACCAAGCCTTAACGGACGCTCTTCGCCCACCGAACGGACGCTTGTCGCCCAGCAGACGCTCGTTCAGCGAGTGGACGCTCGCGACGCTCGTCGCCCAGCGGGCACTCGTTGCCCAGCGAGAGGACGCTCGCGACGCTCGTCGCCCAGCGGACGCTTGTTGCCCAGCGAGAGGACGCTCGTGACGCTCGTCGCCCAGCGGACGCTCGTTGCCCAGCGAGAGGACGCTCGTGACGCTCGTCGCCCAGCGGACGCTCGTGATGCTCGTCGCCCAGCGAGTGGACACTCGTTGCCCAGCGAGGATGCTCGTCCAGCGAGCAGCGGACGCTCGCCCAACAAGCAGGGGACGCTCGCCCAACGACCAGTGGACGCTCGCCCAACGAGACCGCTCACCCAGCGAGAGGAGGACGCTCGCCCAGCGAAAAATCACTTACAGCCCTTCTCTATACAATGTCGCGAAACTGATCCAGAGAGTCAGTTTTGGAGGGAGGAGACTAGAGGGGACTCTGCTGCTGACGTCCAAGCTCGTGTATATCCATGTTCCACCGTACAATCCATAGTTTATCGCTTCTTAGATGCATATGTGTAGCTAAAAGTCCATTTCACTGGGGTTGAGAGTACATTTCTGAAACTCTTTGTAATTTCTCTATTAATGCATGATCTTGTATGAATTTTGTGTTCTATCTTTATTATTCATGCCTACGATGAGAATCTGAGCT